ATATATAAAATCGCGAACTTATATATAGTAGAACAAAAAACAAATTCCTTTAATTATCACTACAGAAAAATTGACTTCAAATTTATCATATTTAAAATATATTACATACATCTTCTCGTATACTTTTTATATATAAATCCAGTTTTTTCGCATTCTTATTGGAATATATGGAATGGGCTTTGTTTCAATATGCTTGATTTTTTTTCTTCAATGTATATACAATACATATATACCTACTCTTGACCAAAATTGAAAGCATCAGTAGTATAAATATATGAATATATACATTGAATAAATAAATATATATAATAATGTAAAATTTTTTTTTACAAATAATACTTGGCTAAAGAATATCTAATTAATCAACATTAATATTAAAAATAAATAAATATTATGTTATATTATAAATATAAGTATTATATATCTGTAAATAATTATACACACTGTATATTGTATAAATATATCTGCATAAACATTTTCTACTCAGCTTGAATATCTTTTCCTTAGTAAGTATTTTTAATACTTGTTTAAACTTGTTTTTTAAAATTAATATTTGATTAATTACCATCTCCCCTTTTGTCTAAAAACGTTCAATTTTTCACACGAAGTAAGATCTATCTACATAAAAAGTACGCCCTTAAGCAGGGAGGAAAGTGGAGTGGAAATTGCTTCGTGTGGAAAAGTCATGCACTCTTTAGGCAAAAGGAAGATGATATGGAAATCGTTTCGTGTAAAAAATTGCGCGCCCCTTGACAGGATGGGAAGTGAGGTAGATTTTGCTTCGCGTAGCTTTAAAAACACTAATTCTCTACTTTAAAATAAAAATTTTTTGTTTTAAAAACGCAAACTTTTTTTATTATATTAATAACTTTTAAAGAATAACACCCGATGGCTGACGTTGGAAGTCATTCAGGGTCATAACCTTGACAACATGTCAAGGTCAAGATCATCGGGGCTGAGTCCTTTATAGTGAACAATTACCCACAATAATTATTAAACAATGAGTATGCTAGTAATTTGATACAAGTGCATTAAATATAAATATTTTATATGTTATCCAATTACGTTGTCAACATATTCAACATATTCTTTTCACTTCAGTAACATGTATCTACTGATATTATTTTAAAAATATTTAACACACAAAGCAAATAAACATGATTATAAATTTATCTCGCTATTAAATTGATATTCAGAATAAAGAAGATTATATATTATGTAAATTAATCATTGGGATTATAATTTATTCGTTGGCACTTTCATCGGCCTTGACTCTTAGTAGCCTTAAATGTGTTGTTTATTTTTGTTTTTAAATTGATATTTTAAATTGATATGTTCTGATATTAATTATGTTAATAATGTAGTATAAATAGATTTCGTACAGAAGCAAGAGCATTTCTTAATAAAGATATTATATTACATATTTGTATGATAATCTTGTGAAGTTGCTGTGAAAGAGAGAGAGAGAGAGAGAGAGAGAGAGAGAGAATGCCTTTGTGAAGCAAAAAAAGTGCCTTTATCAAGTGATAAGACAAGTGTCGTCGATCCACTTTTATTGATCAAACTTAATTGAATGCAATATTAGCTCTATGATTCGAGAATTTTAATTGTTATTAATTTAAAAAATATATTGCAGCCTCGACATTTTTATATTAAAATTTTTGACTCAAAATCTATATATCTTAAGAATGGGTTTTCAAAAGATAATGTGTGGTAGTGGTAGTATAGGACACCATATATATAGAAAATATTTAAAATATCTTTTTATATTTTTCAGTTTGTTATTAATAAATTATTGTGATATAATTTAAAAAGTTAATTATGCGTATTCAATTTTAACATTAAATTTTTTGTTATATTATATAAAGATATCTTCGAAAACTAATCTATTATATATATCAAATTCCACCAATTCGTAATTTATTCATATCGTATAACTCCATAAAATATTATATTTTCTTTATTTAATTAGTCGAAGAAGAAGTCTATTTAATGGGTTATAAATATAAGTTATGCATTTATTCTTCATAAAACGGCCAATAATTCAATTTACCGCATTAATTATTAAATATGCGTTATAAGAAACAGAAAGGGCCGATTTCTTCCATCTATACTTCCGATGTAATCAGTGTCTCTAGCGAAGTTAGATCGGTGATGCGGTCAAAGGTTAAATTGTAAGTTTGTGAATATCAGCTTTGTTACCATCGTGTCGCGTGGTTTGGTTGATGTCCCCGTTATGTCGCCATTAGGGCCCAGCGATGTACGCGTGCGCGTAAGTTGCGTGAGTAAGCGAATAGAGAAAAGATAAGTAAGAAGAAGAGAGCGGGCGCGCGAGCAAGTGAGCGAGCGAGCGAGCGAATGAGCGAGAGAGAGAAAGCGAGAGAACATCGAATGAGAGAAGGAGATGGTACTTAGTTATTTTGCTCGCGTGCTTGTGGGATTGGGTGTGGAGTTGTATGCGCGTCGGCTGGTACGGACAGGTACCAAATGCCACAAGGTCAAAACTCGCATACAACATAGAGCTTGGTACGCGTGATTCCAGCTCCTCTTTTGGTCTGGAGAACTCCAAGGATCACCGCGATAAGATAGGAAGACAGAGAGAGAGAGAGAGAGAGAGAGAGAGAGAGATGTGCTTCATGTCGCCGCATTATATCCATCGCCATGATATGAAATTGCTTCATCGGCGACACGTTTCTCCATATTACAAAACAATAACTTCCGCAAATTTTCATCATAATATGAGAAACATAAATTCTACACACTGATACTCCAATATCATCATGATCGAATAAAAGGTTCAAACATTTTCTCATCAATCAAAGTTATACAAAATTTGCAGACGTAATTTATATTACTATTATTTTATTATACATTTTTTTTTTAGAAAATTAAATTAAAAAATTTACATACAACTTTTTAATACTAGTGCATTAATTAGAAATCTCTCGCGGTGTATATATTATATTAAAAAGTCATTTTATTATTTCTTTAATAATTATAAATACTTGAAATTTTGTTTTATTTTGCAAATAGTATATATAATGTATAATTGAAAGACATTAAATTAGGACATTTAAATAATTAGTTGTTAAGTAAAAAATGCGTATAAATGTACTAAAATTAGTATGCTCAGTCAAGGATGACAGAGCCAGGTATTTATTAGCATCATCGGAAAGTAATATCGACGCCGGGCAAGCGTGACGTCAGGAGATTTTAATGCCGGGTCATTATAGCAGACGCGTTATTTTCACAGAATGTTTAATAGCTTTGTCACTCGATCGTTGGAAACTGCTTTATTTTTTTATTAAATTTTATATTATTATATTTTATTACAATGCAATGCAAACTATTATTACCATGATAATATTATTGGTTTAACAAGAAAAGACCGATAAAAATTAATTGAATACAAAAATTCCTATATTCAGTCAAATCAAATCTTAGTGAGTAAATATTTCTCAAATGTATATACGTGAATATACCTGATTCTGTAAATTGCACGTCGAAATCTTTTCCGGTTTTGAAATGAGAAGAACTAAAGTAATAATATCACTTTTATTAAATTGACTTTTATTAAATTTAATAATTTGTTTGATGCTAATAAGCATCATTTATAATAGTATATTAATAATCAGATGTTAATGAGAATCTTAAAATTTGCAAAAAATTTATTGCAAAAAATATTACCTCAGCCAGAGTTTGAATCTGGAATTTCCTGATAAAAATTAAAAATTGTTAATTCTTTTTATGTTTTTATGAAATTGTGAAAAACAAGAAATAATAAATAGGATTCATTAAAATTAAAAGTTTAGACATAGATTTAGATGAAATTAATACTTTATGAGGTCATAGAGGTTAAGTACAGCCGTTTACCTAGTGAAAACTAAATGAAGAATATAGATACAAATTATATTATAATTATTTTCAATAATATTTTCGTTATAAAATCACTGATAAAAGGATTTATAAATAAAAAGATAATTATGTAATATTTGTAGATCGAGGTTTATATAATTTTAAACCAATTACAAGTCACTAATGTAACTGCTGTATAATATAGATGTAATAATTACATTTGTATATATATATTATATAACACGTTGAAAAAAATGGTTTGATTACTATTATACGATTATACTAACAAGATGTATATAGATGTATATACTACAAGTAGTATATTTATAGTTGAATACATTTTAATGAAACCAATCAGAATAACATCATGGTTATTATGATAAAATTCAGTATTTTATAACGTTTGACAGATTACTACGAATTTGATTAGTATATATTTTCCAATTAAATTTATAAAATTTCTAATTATATTCAATAAGTCATTTCCCGTGAGCAATACGTGCTACCATCGCGAGCGTGGTTTAATATCTCGTGTTGAAAAATTACACAGGAATAACATAAAAGAAATAACAATATGACATTTCTCACCCAAAATTAGATTTAAGATGAAAGTAAATATATTTTGATTGAAATATGTATTTTGACTGCGGATATCTAGCAATTATATTCGATATTTGTCCTATCTGGATGCTTTTTTACAATCCAACCATCCGGCCTGATAGTCAAACTTGTAGGAAAATTGGAGCTAAAGTATCTCGAAAAGTATCGAAAAAATATAGCCACTAAATTTAATGACTATATTAAAATTATATTTTTTAGCACGTTAACATTTTTTTAATATAATGCCTGATAGAGCATCGAGAATTATTAAAAATTGCTTATCAATTTAATTTATGATATTATTATAGTAGTTTAATTGCGAGCGCGTTTATAATCCGCAAAACGTATCAATTCGGCGCGCAGTTCGAATGACTATAAATATGATATA